GGGGTGGAGTGTTTGGAGGGTTGCCAGGTGCCCGGCATTTTTGCCTCCTGGCTGGGGAACAATTCAGAGAATCCCCAACATTTGAGGTGTCCGGGATTCTCTGATTTTTTTACCGGACAGGAGGCAAAAATACCGGACTGTCCGGGTGAATCCTGGCCACCCCAGTCCCGGAGTGTGGGGGAGTCACCAGGCCTTGCACCCCCACCTGCAGCCAGACGTGACGCAGCTGGCAGGTCGCTTCACAGGGACACAGTGTAGCTCAGACTTCTTGTTACAGGACCCAGGAGCATTCAGTACAGCCAATCTTGGGGAAAGGGGGCCCGGAGTCCCAGATCTGAGCCCCCGCTCTCGCCCTCCAGGCCCGCGAGGCTCCCTTCTCCTCCAGCCTGCCGAAAAACTAACTCCCACTCACAGCCCCCCAGGCGGCCTTGCCTCCTGCTTTGTCCTGCTTCCAGGCCCAAAGTGTTATTTGCTGTCACCTGGTCTTCACAACATGAGAGACTGAACCTACTTCTGCAGTGAGTCCTGCCCAGCCTCCTCCGCCTCATGCCGATAGTGCTGCAGTGCCCAGGGAAACTGAGGCGCACTCATGGAGTCATTGCAGAGCAGCATAAGATAGTAGGAATCACACACACACACAACAAAGCAAACAGTGAAGGTATCAACAGAGGGTGTGTCTAGACTGCATCCCTTTGTCGACAGAGGGATGCAAGACAAGCACATTGAAATTGCTAACAAAGCTCATTTTTGAGGAATACAGGATCTGTCGAAAAGGCTTTATTTTTTACAGATCCGTGTCTAGACTGCCGGGTTTTTTGGAAAAAACTCCATTTAGAAAAAAGCGGTGGCCATGTTTATGCTAAATAGGTATGGGACATGTAAATCCCGGCTTCATTAGCAATTTCAACGTGCCTAATCTACATCTCTCTGTCGACAGAGACTGTAAGAATGGACAAAATCTCACTGCGTCACACTATCCGTCATGGCAAATCCGGGCCAGTTCCGAATTGAAATGCTCTGTCCCCATCAAAAAGCAACGTGCCCCAAAAGCCCTGCAGGGAAGCACCAAGCTAGAAATGGCTCAGTGCGTCACCGTGTATTTCCCTGCTCCCAGCTGCTGGAGCGCTCAGACGCATCCCCGCAGCAACACCCTTCCTCCACTCTCCCCTGACAGCACAGAGGTGGCTCCCTGCCTTGGGCTTCCAGAGTTCCTCGCATCCAGTGTGCCACCCGGCGAGTCTCCCCTCCCCCGCCCCACCAACACGTGCCACGTGGCCTCCTCCCTCCCCTCCCCCACGGGGCTGCCTCTGTCATGCGGGTCCCCTGTCTTATGGTGATGACCGCCACCGTTTTTGCTGGGAGGGGAAGGCGATGTCAGGCAAATCGGAGGCAAAAGGCATCGAGGAGCTGCTCCCGGACCTCTGTGCTTTTGAGCTGCCGCCTGCGCTCTGGTGGAGACACACAGAGCCCAGATGGGGCGCTGCCATGCCCTCGAGGTGAGCTCGGGCTCCACAGGTGCACTCACTGTGCAGTCCCTCTCTCTCCCCTGCATGGAGCCGGTCTGGAGGGGTCAGGGCTCTCTTACCCCGTCACCTCCCACCGGGCCTCCGAGCAGGAAGCTGGAATTTGTGCACAGGTGCCCTGATGTGTGGGAGGGAAAGAACTGAACACCCTCTCCCTCTCCGCCCCGCTGGGGGAATGGCAGCTCTCTCTCCAGAAACTTTCCATGCTGCAAAGGGGTGTAAACTAGGTAAGTGGACCCACCTTATGCCCATACCCTTGAACCTCAGTCCTTCTCATTGCCCTCGCCAAGATTCTGCACCCCAGTTTGCGCCGACACCCTCTCTTATTCCTGTACCCTCCCTCCTGGCCAGACACCTACCCCCAGCCTGCTCCTGCTCCCTCCACCTGGCCAGACACCCTGCACCCAGCCTGCTCCTGCTCCCTCCACCTGGCCAGACACCTACCCCCAGCCTGCTCCTGCTCCCTCCACCTGGCCAGACACCCTGCACCCAGCCTGCTCCTGCTCTCTTCACCTGGCCAGACACCCTGCACCCAGCCAG